GTGCTCGAGTCATGGTTCTCAGGCCCCCAGTCCATCAAAAAACGCAACGATTCGGCGTTCCCATACGGTGTACTAAGACATTCCCTGAGCAAAAGAATCAATCACGTGGGAAGGACAGGGCGCAACAACAACAATGACGACACCGAGCATAATTGCCCTGCAATTATCAAGCCCGCATCCGACGCTGACAAGCAAACCGTGGCAATTAATGAGCCATCACCGCACCAATTAAGTCCTCAAGCGGTGGCTAAGTGAAATGATAATTATATTACGCATGCGGATGACTCCTATGAATTATAAATACCATGCAACCTGTGCATGCATCACCCTTATTTGGGCATGGTTCCGACTTTCCTACAATAACCTATGATTAAAGATTCCCGAAAGAAATCCGAAACGTCAGGAAAATAAAACCCTTGTTCCAGTGATCGCATCTTCTTCTTCTGAACTGCATCCTGGAACTCGCATATTCTCCTGTATTGGCGACATAAAGGTAATTTAGCAATTAGTCTGGAACCTCACGCGTAGGAATGGGAGTAACGCAGTAATCAAAAGCTTTCACTCTGGTCTTTCAATATATCTTGCATCAATTAACTATGTAGCAGACAAGGCAAACTGCGATGCGTCGGGATTGATTCTTTAAATAGGACCCTAGCAACAAAATTCTCAGACATTGGAAAATAGCGATGTAAATTGAGCAAAACACTAGAGGCAACAATGCTCCATTATGGCATCGGTTATCGCCAGTGCTTGTCGGACTAGTGGGTTATGTCTACTCCAGAGAAGCATATAGATGCTGATATAGTTAATGCCTTCGGCAAGTTAAGAAAGTATTGGGCAATACGAATAAATAACTGAGAGAAAAAGTGTATAGGAGAGAAGTGTATTATCAGATTGACTTACAAGCTCGGTATTTATACCTGAAGACCCGTGTCTGAGGCGCCAAGAAACCTCCATATTTGGCCCATTAACACAACCAGATGAATTGTCTTGAGGTCTGTAGACAAACCTCGCTGAAAAACACAATACTTATTAAGTGTGAATTCGAGTGTTAAAGGGCCCGATGTGGACAATTCAATTTTCTGATTGCCTATTGCCTATTTCATGAAATGCTAACACTGAAATTTGAAGTGGTCATTTTACATACACTGGAGGTTGCTATTCTTGACATTAAATTGTGGCATGGCGGAAATTGCTGTTTACTATGGAAGAAGTCAGTCCAAATGTGCTTATAAATGGCCTGAACTGAACAAAATCCAACGATTTTTTTGCCCCCGTAAGCTGATAAACCTCTTCAAGCGTTTTGTAGTGTAAAAGAGTATCAATAGATATAGTTAGTGCGTACAAATTGTATTTTGCATTCACTGAAATAACGTCAGGGCAAATGTGAGAAATCACATTGTTTTCGGAAAAATACGGGCAGAATAAGCTAAAGATAATCAGTTTTACAAAGTTGTTACGCTGTTGTTCAGAAAACATGAAAATGAAGCTTTTCAGCTTTAGCTTTTTTACTACAGCAATAATGAGAACTGGAAACATGCATACATATAAATGCGCACGACATTTCGGCACTGTTCTATGTCCAAAAAATATTTCTCTGCAACTGACTGTGAACGAAGACGAACACTTGCAGCAGATGGTGTGCTGTGTGATTGATAAGCAGTATTTCAAATCAGGGTAGGGTCCCTATTTAGGTTTTTTTAAATAAGAGAACTATGCTCATAAGTAAGCAGGGTTGACGTAAGCCAACCATCTTTATCAGGATAAGTAGGAAGAGAATGCAGAAATTTGAACTACCCTAGGAAAATAGGCAAAGCAAACCGTTTTCAAGTAGAATACACATTGGAAAACGTTTTTTTGTATTTCTTCAGGAGTATATTGATTACAGGTCTGCATGATGGAAGACAATTATATTTTTCGATGAGCTCGTTTTTTATTTAAGTCCATTAGCTAATATTCGATTTTGTAGTAAAAATATATGTCCCTAAATGGCAAATTAATCAAGCAGCCTTCGGCTCCCTTTTATTGAATAGTAGTCAGTTTAAAAATCGAACGACGTAAGCCGAGGCACTGTGGGCAGATACTGCGCAAATTGCCTTTTTGCCTATTCCATGAGGTTTTTATGTGGTAGACAATCGACCATATGCGTGTTATCAATTTGAAGTAATCATCGAGAAGAGGAAGAAGACGATTCGATCGCTGGGACAATATGTTTCTTCGCCTGACGTTTCAACATCCGACACGGATTCATCGTCAGAGTCATTAGGAGAAAACAGTAGCAGTAGCAACCCGTTTCTGCTACTGTTTCCTCCTAATGCCTCTGATGATGAATCCGTGTCGGATGTTGAAACGTCAGGCGAATAAACATATTGTCCCAGCGATCGAGTTGTCTTCTTCTCAATTACATCCTGGGCATCGCATGTTCACTTGTATTGATGTAATCATCTGCCCGCGCCACTCAGCACTTACTGGTTTCCAAGGAAGCAAACCCTTTGAGTTCGATTGTGATCCAGTAGTTGCCACCTGGTGAATCTTTTGATCGATATCCAATGTAAATCCCACTAACATTTTTGATTTCTGGAAGGAAAAATGTAATTCGTGAGAATTCTGCCACTGAAAGTGAAAAAAAACGCAAGTTTAATGTCAGTAGGACACGCCAGGAACGCAAAATTCACAAATGGAAATATTAAAGGGGAGGAGGACCTTCCAAGCAAAATATAAAGTTAAAAAACCTTTCGGTCTCAGAACTACGATGATGCACTTGACGCACAATATTGGATATATTTACGCTGCGGTGCATTCATATCAATACGAATGTTTTAGTTCACATATTAACATACAACTGTTTTTTCCACAGAGGCTACGACCAACGCACGATGGCCAGAAAGGAATTTTCACTCACATTTCTCTACGTTACATTTAAAGGCTGTAGTTGCATTCTTCATCCTGCAAATTCCTCTGGAGGAGTCTACGAGATATCCTTCCTTGTCGAGGGAGACAGTCTGTAATAATCGAAATCACATGTTCATTACGAAATACAAAGTATTTACTATTAGCAAAATTCCGTGCATGTTCCAGGCTTACCACTGGTACCCCGATGGTAATGGTAGAATAAATGAATGGACCGCTTTCTTGAGAAAACACTGGACGTCGCGAACCACAAGTATCGGGTTCTGTTTGAAAAGGAAGTGAGATAATATAATATATAATTATACTATAATATATATAATATAATTAATTGTTTTAGCTGCAGCAGCAAAGTTAGTTTAGTTGACCCAATTGTGAAAAAAACTCGCGGTGTCGGTGAGTTTTTAAAAATTGGATCAAGTAAATTAAGCAAATATGCCAAACGCCCTAAAATAATTAAATTAGTTTGTTTGGAGTAAACTGATTACGTTACCGTTACGCTCAAGTAAGAAGTCATCATTCTTGTTTTGGAATGGACTTAACGTGCAACACAGACGGGGACCACTACTACCCTTGTGATAAACTTACAGTCTATTGCGGTGTCTACAATCAAAGTTTTCATGTTACTTAAATTATCCGTAGGTTTCAATTTGGAGTCAGTACAGTACAAATCCTACAATAGGAAATAACATGACACAGTTTTGAAAAAAATCTATTCGAGTTGATTTAGTGAGGATGTGCTAGTTGCTGGCATGTACACCATTTGTAATTTGACAGAATAATCAATTTTTACCACATACATTTTTCATTTCATTGTTTAAAACGTGAGATGCACTTACGATGATCATACATAGCAAAGTGTGTTTCATTTGTCTGAACTGTCAGTTGTCCCAAAAAGGAAATTTCTGGAAGATTGATATTGAGAACACAGTCCTGCGTTGCTGTTAAAGGAATGGAAATGTTTATAGGTTTGTCGGTGATGATTTTCAAGCATTTCACTGATAGCATTATGGCATCTTGATTCCAGAAACATATAAAGGTTGTAAAAGACGTATGTATAGACAAATGTTAGCATAAAGTCTTTTGTAAATCGATAACCATAGAACTTACAGCATACCACAGGACATGGGAATGCGAAGTACACATATGAATCCAAATAACATGTTTCATTGACGGCTATGTAGTTGTCACCATCCATGATGAAGTGGACTGGCTATCGGCAAAATAAATTTGGATTAATGACTGGCTGTCCTCTGTTTAAGTTAGACATTGAAGATAGAAAGAAAACTAACAAATACTTACCACGGTTTTGTTAGAAATGTGCACCGGTATGGTTGCTGGGCCGGCAGTCTGAGCAAGTGTATGTCTAATTACTGATTTTTGCATTGCATTGTCTGCTAAAATTGTTCAAACGTATATCTCGTTTTTAATGGGATTTAGGGCACTATCTTCAGCAATACGCCTATCGAAAAGGTTAGGACACTTGTGCGAAACCTTATTACCACACGATAATGGTAAACTCCATACGCATATCACAGAAGTAACGCCCTGTAAAACTTACTACAGCGGAGTCTGCCAAAGGGTACTTATATAATGCCGTATTTGGCCAAAAAGTTGGGATTTAAAAGTCGGTTTGTTCTTTAAAAACACAATAGCATCTCTAGAGTACGATACTAGTTTTGTGAACATTTTTTTATAATAGAGTTAATTAAGTGAACTTGCCCTTGGCCAACGAAACTAGCAGCACAGCCAGGAAGGAGACTTGAAGCGACATCTGCAGGATTGACTTCATTTCAGGTATGAGGTTACCGTGTGCTGGCCTTCTATTTGAGCATGGCTGGGTGAACTCTAGTCATATGAGCCAATGAGCTAACTCACCATATTCCAAAGGAACTCATTGCCAAAAAGATGGGCAACGACATATGAGGGAATTTTACCGCTTGGTCTCTATGTCTGATCTCAGCATGACCCGTCCCAGACCAGCGGCTGGCGACTATTGTCTCTATGCCGTGACCGTAGAACTTGCACGTGGCACTGAAGTGAGCGTGGGGGGGGGAGGCATGACTTCTAGGCTTGACGGCTAGGCAGACCTTTTTCCATGGCCCTTCGCTGAAATATGTCTTATTTGTCTCATTCACCTGTGAGCAGTAGCAACAAAACATCGCCTAACCTACATCTGTTGATTGACGTGATCTAGTGGTTGGAAAGCTGCAGTAGCGACTGCCAAGTCAGCCTCCTTCGCATCGGTTTTGACCAATTTTAATTTCAAATTATGTGTATTTGCTGTTCTTAGAGGCTCAACTTTAAAAAATGAATGTACATTTGATTCCTATGGTGTGTGTTAGTTCGACCATCGTAATCGATGATGTCCACCATTTGCCCGAGAGGAGAGACGGTGACAACGGCCAGGTATAGTGAAAGTAGAGTCGCCGCCGTCTCTACCTCACTCTAAGCTCTCACCCCGTGTGAGAACGGTGACAAGACAAAGTCGAGATGACCATGCAGGGGATCAGGCGTAAGCCGCTTTCTCCAGATGCAGCCGGAAACACCGCCTAACTTAACTTTTAATGACAGTAGGCTTTGCGCGGGTAATACTGCACTGTCAATCCTCACTCACCTATAGTAGGTGTCTAGTCAGACTTTAGTGAGCCAGGACTGGTATTACTACTATCAATATTGCTCCTTCTAACACTACTTAATAGGGTGTAGCTGAGTGAGAGTATTTGCTGGTACTGTTACTGACTGTTTAGTTAGTCAGAAAAGACGCTGATTAAAGTCCGCACTGGGCTGATATCCTCTCAATCTCGGCAAGAAGTGTAGTATTACTGGTGCTGGCAATGTCGCCTCCATCCGTCAGGGGTGACGCTGGTTAACCCAACGCTAGGGTTCATATTCCCTTGGTCTCAACAAGGAGTGTGAGTCTGGTTTTAAAGTATTTCGCGTAAGTACACGCTTAGGGTCCAGTGCACAGTAGTGCTTGCCTTGGTTTCCGCATGCTCAACTCTATCCATCGAGCTGTGTATTTTTCTACTAGATACGGACAGCAATAGTGCTGCTATGGGTAGGTGCCTATGCTAAACGTGCTAAATTCTAGTAATCATGCTTACTATGGCCAGTAGATAGTATGATTTAAATACCGCCTGTGTGTGCTTTTTAAGAAGTCGCACGCAGCATGTACTCCCAATCTGTGTGAGGTAATAGTAATTAGCATTTGGATAATAATAGAACGTTTGTATCAGGTAGATGGTAATTTGACCACCGATTTCGATTATGCCTACCATATGCCTCTTACTGTAGTCACTGGGTGTAGCTTGCGATAGAAAACGCAAAGCTCCAGGTACCGTCTGTCCGCATGATTAGCTCAATGGTTACCAGGTCGCAAGGTACTGCCATTTACCGTCTTCATGCTAACTATAGAATTGCTACCGTATCCAGCTATAGTTTGGAAGGTACAGAACGTTTCCTGTCTAACTAAGGGAACGACAAGTTCCAGAATTTGCTTATCATAGTAGCATGGTAGTACATATACTGAAACAATATCTCTGTGGTAAGAAATGCATCTTAACAGTGCAATAAGCATAGCTAATGGGATTATGCGCTTACAAGCCTCCTTGTCCTCCACGGAAGTGATCGAAAGAACATGCTCGTTAAGATGGGTTCATTTATGTCAGTGTACGGATGACGCAGACCAACAGACGATCGATGTAACCGTTAAAAGTCTCTTGATAAGGCTTTGTGTCGGTCGAGCGCCCAGACTGGCTTGTGAGCAACCAGTTACTCCCGGTTTTGCACGCGG